ATAACACATTCCACCAACATAACTAATCCTAGCTTAAATTTATCTACTTCGGCCCGACATTGATGGAAAACTTCAAAGAGCATTCTCATGCTAATTCTTTTACTACCATGAAAGTATTGATTTCTAAGACGGTTGTTATTATAATCAATTTCCATGATCGGTTCATGACAAGGTAATCCAGTGATAAGACAAAATTCTTGCATACCAAACCTAGCAATACGGTCCTCTAATCTTACCCAAACTTCATTATTCTTGCCACAATGTACAAGCCGCAATACAAATTCATGTACCAATCTACTACTAAATTGCTCATCTCCTCCTCCATAAAAAAAAAAAAAAAGAAAAAAGAAAAAAAAAACTCTGTACATAAATCCAACAAAATTACTGCACATTTCAAAGCATTGATGATTTGAATCTATAAAGTCCATAAAATCTTTAAGGTACTCACGATTTGAATATTGAGTGATGGTCGCTGAAAACCATTGATTTGGAGAAAGTATTTATTCCAAAGACATCTACATACATAATTCAAAAAAAAAATGTAAACAAATTTAAGAAATTCTAAAATAGAGAACTTGTAACATTGTACTTAATTAATCAACGCAACAACGCACATCTCAACAACAAAATTAATCACACGAAGACACTGTCGAACAAAATATTGCATCAACATTTAAAGTAGGATAGGAACATCTTTAAAGTAAAGATAGAAAATAGTACCATAATAGCAATTTCAATAAAAAACTGTCTATTCCTCAAATGTGTACAATCATATCATTTATGAGTTTTAAAATTAAATTTATAGGAACACAATAAAAGGGTAACTTTTCTATATGTAATTGATTGACCGGAACATAAAACTTTGTTCAAACAAAGAACCAAACAGAAAGGCAAAAAAAAAGGGTTCATGCAGCCAACTTTGAATTTATTGGGAATGAAACTTAGTTATGTTGTTGTTTGGGTCACATAGTGGTCAAAATGAAATATTCAATCCTTTGTTTCCATGTGACAAGCAATCCCTTACGACTTATTCCATCTCAAAGTTGGAGAAAACAAGTTACAACATTCTATTCCTTCCAGCTCAATCTTATTGAGCAAAATTTTCCTACTGACAATTTAAGTGCTGATACGCTTATAGCATATGTCATATTATTATCATTCCTTAAGTTAAACAAACAATGCAAGAGAGACAATAGAAATAAACACTTCAAAGCTTCAAACATTTCGAAACTTGATTAGAACCATGCAACATACATAGCTAATTTACTAGAAAATCAAGGGATGCAAAAGGAGCTCTTCACATTCAAAACTCACCCATGTTTTTTTTCTAATAAATGCTACATACTCACCCTCCGTTCCCTCTGTGCATGGAGGCCAAGTTTTTGGGAGTGGGACCATAGACCACCGTGTACGGCGATAGGGCTCCGTAAAAGGCTACTGTGCAAGTAAGGATGATACCACTTTTTGACCATCTCACACGGTGGCTTTCACCTAAGTAATGAAATAAATTTTGCAACTAAATGCTTACCTTTGGGTGGTGATTTCTTCAACTTGCAATTTGAAATCCAGGTTTTGAGATGAAAGGTTTGAGATCTAGGTTTTGAGATAGAGAAAGAGATAAGGATAAGAATGAAATAAAAAAGGTTGAAATAAAAATAAATATATATGTGTGGTAGTAAAAGGCTTTTTAGATAAATAATTTATACTTTATTTTACTTGTTTTATTATTTATTATACATGTATATATTTATATACTTACATATTATTTAAATCAAATGAATTAATTTGTAGCTTTTTTTTCCTTAAAATGTAATTTATACTGAATTATAAGCTATTCCCTTGCTATAGTAAAACTTTACTTCTCAATATCTATTCGATAATTTACTAAGTGTTTTACTAACTCAATTATTCCATGGACACCATTTACATACTATTTTAAGTAGTTCCCATATCATATGCATATTCCAAACTTTTACGCTTATTAGTTTTATATAATATATATAACAAAGTAATAAGAACTAAGGAATACTCCTCAATTCTATTGCAGCAATTCTTGTACTATAAATAAAATTTAAAGTAATTTCCATTTCTTATGCCAGTGATTAGACAGTAAGGTATGTCTATTTAGACAATAAGGTATAGCTATTGATAAGATTTTACTACGTAAATAATTTTATTAGTTTTAAACATAAAAAAAAAACTATTCGGTTTGTATTGAGTCTTTATACCATCTACACGTTCCATTTTTTATAACTGATGAAACTGACACATGGACACATTAATACTTTCACATCACCCTTCCAACATCACGCCCCCAAAATTAAAATATTTATTAAACCATTACGTCTCAGTTTGAAATTCTATAAATAGGCTAACACAATGCTTCAATTTCACATCTACGAAAACAAAGAGATTATCATTACCATTTACAGCTTCCATACTGTAACACATTCTAACTTGTATTCACACAACCTTTTTCTTCTCCCTCCATATTAACTATTATCTTACATTTATAGCTATATTTATCTACGGATAAAAAAATGGCTACACCTCATAAATTCATACCACAAATTTCAGTTTCGAAGATTAATTGGTCAGCAAAAGTTATCGTGGTAGGAAAACAATCCCCAAAGATTGCTCGGAATTCCAATAGCCATTACCAAAATCTTACTCTCATGGATTTAGAGGTATATATATTTTTCGTTCTAATAATTTTCTGCCTATCACTATACCTATGTGTTTCGTAAATATCTTTATACTTTTCTAATGTTCATCAGGGAAATAGAGTGACATCAACAATCTACGATTCCAATATTACTGCACTAAAGGATGAGTTCCAACTTGGAAAAACATACGTTGTCTCAAACGCAACCGTTAAAGATTTCAAAAGTGAGTTTCGGAGTTCTCCCAGTCAAAAAATATGGAATATAACAGACAAAATGAAGGTTGAGGAATTAAAAGAGGATAACTTGAATCTCCTATTCTCAAAATATGAACTCACTCCATTTGATCAACTGGAGAGGCATATGGACAAGAATGCAGACATAAGTAACATTTCTAACATATTCTACTTAAACTAATCATTTCATATAATGTTTCATAGTTTATTTTTTACGTTCAAATTTATTACATGCAAAAAAACACTTTATGCGACCTTCTCGTAGGTGTGATGGGTGTCGTTATAGCTGTTCGACAGAAACGACTTATTCAAACTAACTTTGGTACACAAGCCTATCTACAAGATATTATCTTGATAGAGAAACAATTCAAAATTTTGATGCTAACATTATAGAACATCTTTGTCAAACGGGAATGCACTACAACAAGTTGAAAACCTTACAAATAGACCCGTCAGATGGGCTACAAATGTAAAGGTTTCTTCTTTCAACGATAAATACGTATTTGTAAAGAAATAGAATTCTACATTAACGGCCCTAATTGTATACTTTCGAGTAAAGACTACGGTTATAATACTACCGAATGACAATACATTTCTGCTTTTGACTTTAATAAATTGTTGTACATATTTCAGTTTCTTTATTATCTTTCCGTTCTAAATAATACAGTTTTTAAATTAATTAGAAATAATAAAAATTTATGATGCAAAAAATAAGAGAAAAATATTAAAAAATTTTAAAAATTATGATAGAGTTTAAAATTTTAATTCAAATAATTACAATGAAACGTAAAATTTAGTAATTCAAAATTTAACAAATTACTTTCTTAAACAAGATATAAATATTATTTAATTAAACAGAAAAATTAAACAAATTAAATTTATAAATATTAAATAAAGAATATATAAATATTTTTTCATTGAACTAAAATTTAGAGAAATTTTATCGTCAAGAAAAAACAACTAAAAAGAAAAATGAATTTATAATTTGAGCAGAACAAACTCATAAAAATATTATGTAATTAAATAGATTAAAGTTATAAAAATCAGACAAACAATATTCATATTATTTCATTAAAACTGAAGAAGATAAATTTTATTGTAATGAGAAAAAAAATAAAACGAATTTTAAATGAAAAAACAAAAATTATATTATTAACATAATACATTTAAATTAAAATTAGGCATTAAAAATAATACTCTCCATAGACGGAAATGAATCTCTCCATCCACGAAGAGTCTCGTTTCTAAAAAGGAGAAAACTCTCCCATGTAGAAACTATTCTAAAAAGTAGAGTTTTCTCCTCTTGAAAGGAGAGTTCCTCTCCGTGACAGGAGAACTCTCCTTTAAAAGGAAAATTTAATTTATTATTGCTTTATGTGAGTACTTCAAAAAAGTTGTTTCAAAAATTCACGCAAGTATTGAAAGAATCTAAATTTTAATGAAGTCTATTGAAAATTGAAAATCTGAATTCAGATTTCCTAAATTCCAATAAAATTAAATCTAAGGCTTATTTTGACAATTTATAATTTTTTATAAAAATTGTTTTTTTCGATTTCAATTTTTTAAATTATTTTTTGTAATTACTACATGGAATCTTTCCAGTTAACATCACAGATAGCTTACCTCAAATGATATTTTTATAACCAATTGATTCGCTTCTTCTTCAAACAGTAAATTCATATCAACATTCAAAACGCTAATATCACGTCCAAAATAATCTTGCCCGTGCAATACTAGTATCATAATAATTTTAAATAATCATCAATAATTATCTCATTATTTTACAACATTTGGTATCTTTTTGCATTTATTATAATTTTCATTCAATGAATCACGCCAAAGAACTCTTACTCATTGTTGTTTTTACTGTTTATTACCTGTACCTTTCATTATTAGCAAAGTGCATTCTTGAAAATTTTCAGACAATGACTCTCACGTATCGCCTGTAAATTCCTTCACCAGTTCCCACGTAAGACAAATATATCTATCTGCTTATTCTTACAATTAATTCATTCTTAAACGTGAACGCACAGTGTTGGATTGATGGATGGATGCTGCAACAATAAGGAACGTGATAATACAAATCAGACAAATTCAAACATAGATCAAGATCAACCGACAACCATCTTTATTCATTCTATAAACCGAAATTACAAAGGATTGAGAATTAATTTTGCCTACCCGAAAGAGGCATCCTAATTACATTAACCTGCATATTTTTCGAAGGAAGTTAGGCTTTTGAAATTCTGCCATGGCTTTTCGTAAATAACGGCCAAATAATTCTGCACTGCAGCTCCGTCCACGGCGGAGATAACAAGCTTGTAATTAATGCCAGCAACGACCTGTGATTCCCCCTTGACGACCTTTTGAAACTCCAAGTTGGATTTGGCTTCCTTATTGTGCTCATCCACCGCGAATTTTGCAATTTCGATGACCGTAGGGTCGTTAGGGTTATCAATTGGCTTATAACCACCAACAATGGGACCTCTTCCGCCGCTTTGGGCGGCGGAGACTTCGATAGAAATGGAAGCGACGAGAATTGGGAGTATTATGAGGAAAAGGGAGCGAGATTTGAGCGCCATTTGGGGATTTTTGTTTGTTAATGCGTAGAAATTATAATGTGGTCGAGAGTTGGGAGGGTATTTATAGTTCGTGGGTGTTTTGTGCGCGCGCGTGTGGCCGCCGGGGGGAGGGGGGGTGCCGAGGGGGGCTGGTTTACATGGCGCGCGGGAGCCTAACCAAGGCCTTTCTGGCTTCTTCCAATAAGGGCAACTTACAAAAATACCCTTAAAATTAAAAATATTTTTAAATATCATATGAAAAATTTTTTGGAAGTAAAAAATACTGTCTAAAATGAAAAAGTGACACAATGTCACTTTTGTTATAAAAATTGTCACTTTTTTCAAAAAGAGTGAAAAAAGTGACACAAACTCAAAAAAAGTGACACAAACGCCTGAAAAGTGACAAAATTCAAAAAAAAATGTGACACAAATTCAAAAAAATGACAAACACAAAAATAGTACCATCCATTTGTGCAGCACAATAATCATATTCTTAATATAATCAACATATCCCGAACAATCAACATGAGCGTAGTGACGATTCTTAACATAATCAGTATGTCCAAGACAATTTACATGTTGATTATGTTAGGAAAATATAACATGAAAATTTAAAAAAGTTCCGAAAATTTAAAAAAGTGACACAAATTAAAAAAAAAAAACAGCTACACAAATTTAAAAAATGACTGAAAATAAAAAAGTGACAAACAGTCCAAAAAGTGACACAATGTCACTTTTAAAGTTAAGTATCATTTTTTTTAATTAAAAATGACATACAATGTTACTTTTATTAAAAAGTGATGCTTGCCGTTAGAAAAGAAGAAGGAAAAAAATGGTGATAGAAATAAAAAAAAAAAGACTAAAAAGTGAGAAATATTAAAAATAGTGGAAAAAATTCAAAAAAAAAATAGTGACAAATACTAAAAAAGTGACAAAAATTCAAAAAGTGACGGAATTTTTCGAAAAAATGACGTATTCAAAAAAGTGACATAAATAAAAAAAGTTACACATATTAAAAAAGTGACAAAATTCAAAAATTGACAAGCTCAAAAAAGTGACAAAAATGAAAAAAGTTCCACATTTTCAAAAAAGGTGACAAAAAAAAAGTAATAAATACTAGAAAAGTGACGAAATTCAAAAAAAAAAAGTGACAAACACTAAAAAAAAGTGACAAAAATAGTATGATGGTGATTTTCTTGTTGACAAAAGTCAATCTATAATCAAATTCGTGCAAAATACGAAATCATCCAGATATAAAGCAATTTTCACTTTTTGCGCACCTCCAACCATTTCATCATGATATATTTGCAATAGTATTTGCATCCTGCTTGTAGCTACAATAGTTCGACTTTGAGGTATAACATGCCAAAACAAATTTATAATTCCCCAATATCCATTAGACATGTGATAATAATTAAAAATATGTTTGTAACATACCATAATTAAAAAGTGGCTTACACTCTAAAAGTGACAAGAATATGTTACTCACATGCTACATAACAAACTCACAAGTAAAACTATTTGCCATGAGTGCGCAAAAACACAAAGTCACACTATTCTGGAAGTCTATGACCACTGAAACAACACTATCAAGTGAAAAACCTCTTTCTTAAGAGTTTCTTCTTCGTCTCCAAAAATGTAAATGCTTTAGTTGCAAGTAATTCAATTGTCAACTTTTCGCTTCTTGTTTACTTTTACTAGCTTGAATCCCCATAATTTTTTTGCCAGGATCTTTTCCATGACTAATTTTGAGTTCTTCAATGACCTCCATAGGTTCTTCCATCAATTCAAAGTCCAAGACTCCAAAATTGCCCTCAATATCTTCTTTATCCTCAAGTTCAACACCATAATCCATGTTTCCAACAACCCCCAGGTCAAAATCTAGAGTTTTAGGATTCAAAACAAAGCTCTGCTTCGAATAGTAGGAAAGCTCAACTCTCTGCATATTCAGATTTGAACCTTCATCAAGGTTCCTTCTTTTTTGTGCTTCAAATTCTTCGTCATCAAAGAAGTAGCATCGGAATCTTCGCATTTTGAAAATTTTTTAGGAATGTAACTCATTGGAATTGAAGCATTGCAACCATTTGAACAGTTTAAGCTACTCTCTCTGTTGACACAATGAATCAAAAATACTCGATCTCGTTATTGAATTACAATTTTGCATATGAAATTATTGGAGAAAATCGCCATTTTAGAATTGGGATTTAGGGGATATAACAAAAATCTAAAGACTCAAAACACAACTTGATTTTACACAAAATGCAAGATACATTACAGAAGAAAGTAAGCATTTCAAAATAAATTTCGAATAAGCCGTAAGCAAGTTTAAAACAATGGAAAATTAACTAACCTTAGGTTTATAAACTTGTGAATAATTTTTTCTCTCTTTTTCTTTGAATTTCCTTCAACAAAACTTGATTTTCTCTTCATCCCCATCGATTCACTTTCTTCAACCATGATTCTAGCCTATAATCAGCGGTGTCGCATGGGTGGAGCCTTTAATGGGTGGATGAATCGCCTTCTTCTTTGAGTAAGTGAAGATGCTTCCTCTTTGCTGGGTGAATCGTGGGCTTTGGGGGGTGATTTGAGGTTTTTCTTTATAATCAATTGGTTTTGGGAGCTTTTGGAACGATTTTAGGGCGTATTAATTACTGCTATTAGATATTTTAAATTGTTTCAAGAGCAATAATCTAATTTATTCATTTTTAACAGTAAACCATTAGTTTCTCCTGATTATGAAGAAATTTCACAACATAGTCCTTATAATTTGGCTTATTGGCGCAAAACCCCTTATCATTTGGACCTATATAGTATATCCCCTATTCTTTCAAATTGGTCCAAAACCCCCTTATATTACATTTGAGATGCAAAAGACCCCATTTTCTTCCATCTTCTCAATAAAGCATTGTAAAATGACGAATATATCATTCTATTTAAACAAATAAAAAAAAGAAAAATTAACGAACTAATTTAAACTGTAATCAATTTTTTATATTTTAAAAAAAAAAGTGCAAATGAGTTCAAAATAAATAAATTAAAATTACAAAAGTCATTTCTCCCCCACCAGCCACCACCACCACTGCAAAATTCTTTTCTCTCGCTCTCTCTCTCTTTCTCTCTCAACTAACCTAGCCCCCATTTGGCCTCCATTCTTTCCAAATTTTAATAGTTGAAATTGTATTTTTTGAAAACGTATGGTTGAAAAAGAATGAAGAGTTTTTTATTTGCGTGTAATATTTTTTTTATGAAAGATTGTGTGATTGAAAATAAAAGAAAAAAAAAATAAGAAGGAGAATGGGGGCCAAACGAGAGCCTAATGTATTGAATCACGGATAGAATATTTACCTATAATCAAATGACCAAATGAGGATGAAAATAGATAACTTAACGATAGCCCAGGGCAGGGTCGGTGGGGGGCCCTTAAGGTTGGGGTTCAACTTTGATACTGTTGTTTTAGCTCAAGGAATGGAGATTATGGCAGTGAAAGGAATAAACAAATCCCAATGGTAGGTAATAGCTCTAATTGTAGGTCAGTTTGATGGCTAAGATGCGACGAGTGACTGGGTAGTTGTGTTGGGTGTCGACAATTTGGAATAGGCCCAATGTTGGTTTGTTTGCTGTGGTGGGTATTGTGCAGTTGCGAAATTAGATTATGGCCAATGGGATTGGGCAATTTGATGAATATTGATAGATGGAAGTGACAACGGACAACTCTGTAGAGTTCATAAATGTAGGAGATGGTAGAGGGTGGAAACAGGAGCAACACACAATGGTCATTTCAGTTGCGAGTTACAGCGCGTGGGTACCAGGTTTGAGATCGGATTGTGAGCTTGAAGGTGGTGATTGATGTGGGAACTGGAATGGTATTGTTAAATGACTGTGTGCAAGGGTTTGATATAAATTGTAGGGACGATAACGATAGATTGATGGTACGGATTATGTGAACTATTTGTGTTGGCGTGGTAGATGGTTAGTTGGAGTTTGGTTGGCAAGTTGAATGGTGGGGTTGTATGGGTGCTCGATGACCTAGAGCAATTGACGAAAGAGATTGAACCAAGGTCAAAATTTGGACATAGAGGGTGGTGGTGGTGGTTTGGGTAGGAGGGAGATGGCGTAGTTGGGTAAGAAAAAGATTTTTTATTATAAATTATTTATTTGAGACTTAGTTTGTATTTTTTTTTCTTTGAAAGATTTAAGACTATAATTGAAATTAGTTCTTTAGTTGTTTCCTCATTTTTTTTTTGTTTTATTTAAATTAGAGAGTATATTCGTTATTCCACAATATTTTTATTGAGAAAATGGAAGAAAAATGGATCTTTCACACTTCAAAGATCACGTAGAGAGATTTTCGGCCAATTTAAAAGGATGGAGGTATTCCGCAATATGTCCAAAAGATAGGAGTTTGCGCCAATAAGCCTTTTAACTAAAGAATTCCTAAAGTACTTTACTTCCCTCATTGATTTTCAAAATACCAATTGTACTTTATCCCAAAAAATTGATTAATTCTATTTTGTCCCATTAATGTAGCAACAATTTATATGATAATATTTATAAAATTAAATAATCATTTCATTTAAACGCAATGTATATTTCACACTTAATTGAAAAGTTATGATATTTAGCACAATTAGTACTAACACAGTACTAGGTGCCCAATCACTTCAAAGTAGAGAAATTGGTAGCATTTAAGATAAATTACAACTTATGTCCATTTAGACTTGTGTTATAACGTTAGTGATGCTACATAATATTATTTTTAATTGAATCTATCATGCGATATCACTTAGGCCTAACTTTAAACACCAATAGAAATAAATAACATTATTCAAAAACGATACTCATCCCATTACCACAAATTAGTTGCCTCCGACGACCACCGACGTTGCAACCATCGAGACCATCTGAGCCTGTACAGCTTGTCCCTCGACCAGATTACCAATAGATCTTCCACCTTCAACCACCTCAAAACACCATCTAACTACCAGCATATTCCGCCGTCGCCGACCATGGCCATTGGCACAATGGATTTCCAATTGCACATTCATTTTCAGATATGATACAAAAAGT